GGAGAGATCCCCAGCGCCAAGGGAGCCCGGAGCTGAAGAAAGGAAAGTGTTGAAAGGGTTTTAACCACACACTCTCTCACGAACAGACGCATACACACTAGCTAACAGACACACTCAGTGACAGACATACATACACACTCACTGACAGACAGACAAACACACTCACTTACACAACATACACTTTCACTGACAAGCACTCACTCACTAACAGACACACACAAACTAACATGCTCAGTAACAGACACACTTACTGACACACACACTAAAACACACACACTGACCCTCACTAGCAGACACACACTCAATAACAGACACACACAAACACACAACACACTCAGTAACACACACACTCACAAACAGTAAGACACACACACACACACACACACTGACACACAAAAATTAACACACACACTAAAACACATATACTCACACACTCATATATATTTTTTTTATTTATCCCCCAGCCTCCCTACCTTTGGAAGTGCTGAGGGTATTCCCTGGGGTCCAGTGGGGCTGCCCGGTGGCCTGTCCTGCAGGTGGCGAGGGAACACTGATCCTCCTGTCCAGCTCCCTCGCGCACCGCTTACTGATGCTGGAGCCGGAATGATGTAATATTCCGGCTCTGGCATTACTGCAGTGCGCACGAGGGAGCTGGGCAGAGAGCGCTCAGGGAAGAATGCTCCCTCACGCGCCCGCCATGAAACGCCACTGCCAGCCTCGGGGGGCCCTGAGTTGGCCAGCTCCTGGGCCCCCCAGGAGAAGAGGCTGGCAAACTGGTGTACATACCCGGTCGCAGGGTGGCCAGGCCCCCTGGTGGGCCGGGCCCGGTTGCAGCTGGTATGTACGCCAGTGATAGGGGGGTAAAAAAGATAACCATTAGAAATGCATACCCCATTCCTTTGATTACAGAGTTGTTCGACAGATTAACCCCTTAAGGACCAAGCCAAATGTACAAGTTGTGATCAAAACAAAATGTAAATAAAACCTGGCATTTGCGCTAAATGTCTGTCCAATCTTAATTCACCTCTTTCATATTAAATGCACCAACACTTATTATATATCATTTTATTTAGGGACCCAGGGCTTTCATTTAACATCAAATATTTAGGTATGGAACATAATTTAATATGAATAAAATATAAAAAAATGGGAGAAAATAAGATTTTTTTAAATTTTCTTAGTTCTACGTGACATATCAACTGTGAATGTCAAAATACTGTTAGCTTTTACTGCAATAAAATACACATATTTGTATTCAGCAATGTCTCACGTGTAAAACAGTACCCCCTATGTACAGGTTTTATGGTGTTTTGGGAAGTTACAGGGTCAAATATAACATGTTACACTTTTCAGTTTTTTCACATTGAAATTCGTCAGTTTGGTTACGTTGCCTTTGAGACTGTATGGTAGCCCAGGAATGAGAATTACCCCCATCATGGCATACCATTTGCAATAGTAGGCAACCCAAGGTATTGCAAATGGGGTACGTCCAGTCTTTTTTAGTAGCCACTTGGTCACAAACACTAGCCAAAGTTAACGTTAATATTTGTTTGTGTGTGAAAAATGCAAAAAACTAATTTGATTGCCAATTTTGGCCAGTGTTTGTGACTAAGTGGCTACTAAAAAAAGATTCTGTCTGCTTCTAAAAAAGACTGAACATACCCAATTTGCAATACCCTGGGTTGTCTACTTCATCAGTGTAAGTGCCGTTTGTGTGTGAAAAATGCAAAAAACGTCACTTTCACTGACAATATCATCGTTGTAATACATTTTACAGTTTTGAAACACAAATATTTGTGTTCAGCGATGTCTCCCGAGTAAAACAGTACCCCCCACGTACAAGTTTTATGGTGTCTTGGAAAGTTATAGGGTTAAATATAGTGCTAGCAAATTAAATTCCCTCGACTTTCGGCCTGGATTGTCAGACAGGTCCCACAAATTGTAATTAAAGGGACACTCCAGGCACCCAGACCACTTTTGCCCATTGGAGTGGTCTGGGTGCCAACTCCCACTACTCTTAACCCTGGAGGTGTAATTATTGCAGTTTTTTACGAAATGCAATAATTACCTTGCAGGGCTAACTCCAGCTCTAGTGGCTGTCTACTAGACAGCCACAAGAGGGCGCTTCTTGCATCATAGCACAGAAAATGTGTGAGGACCTCCAGCGTCGCTCATTTCCCCATAGGAAAGCCTTGAAAAGCATGGAGCTCTAATTGCCACACATGCGCATTAGGTCTCCCCGGCCGGTGGGCGGGATCAGTCTCGCCCACCTGCCGACGAAATCACAGGGAGGAGCGGCGGCGGAGGAAGAAGCAGCGACGTGGGACATCGTCGCTGCCTCCGGTAAGTTACTGAAGATGTTTTCACCACTTCAGCAACCGGGGATTGGATGTGGGAGGGAGAGGGGACCTGCAGTACCAGGAAAACGGATTGTTTTCCTGGCACTGAAGTTTCCCTTTAATAAAAGGACCTAATTATGTAAAATGATTACATAAATATATATATGTAAATGTATTATATATATACGTGTAGGCCAAAGGCCTTAAAGCTACACATCGCTTTATAAGTTTTGCGAATTATTACCGCAAGTTCATTAAAGGTTTTTCCTCTGTAATCTCCCCTATTACCAATCTAACCAAAAAAGGAGCAAATTGCAATTCATGGCCCAAGGAAGCAAAGGAGGCATTTGAACAATTAAAATCTTTATTTGCCACAGCACCTGTCCTGACACATCCCGATCCAACCAAACCATTTATTAGTAGTTTATTTACTAGAAGTAGATGCGTCAGAAACAGGAGTAGGAGCCATTCTGTCCCAAAGAGAAAGTCCTGATACTCCTTTACATCCCTGTGGGTTTTTCTCTCGAAAACTAACACCTGCAGAGAAAAATTATGACATTGGGAATAGGGAATTATTGGCCATAATACTTGCCCTTAAAGAATGGAGACATCTCTTACAAGGTTCCAAAGAGCCACTTCTGATTTTTACCGATCACAAGAATTTGGCTTATATTGGGGACACTAAGAGATTGTCCTCTCGTCAGGCTAGATGGTCATTGTTCCTCTCCCAATTTAACTTTGTAATTACCTATAGGCCCGGGACCAAGAACACCAAGGCAGATGCATTGTCTAGACAGTTTGAGACAGATGAGATCCTGAACAAGAGGTATCCCCTATCATACCTCCAGAATGCCTTATTGCTACTACTGTTTCTGAAGTGTCTTCTCCACTCTTCTGTGCTATAACTGCAGATCAAACTCAGGCACCCATGGAGAGACCTCCGGATAAACTGTACGTTTCACCACCATTAAGAAAAAAGGTACTTGGTTTATTCCATGATAATCTGACAGCAGGTCATCCGGGAGTCCATAAAACTCTCTCTGCTATCTCCAGGAGGTTCTGGTGGCCTACACTTAGAAATGACATCAAGGATTATGTAGGGGCATGTCAAATATGTGCCGTTTCTAAATCCTCTCACAAACCACCTCCTGGCTTGTTACAACCATTACCTATACCTACTGCTCCATGGACCCATTTAGCCATGGATTTCATGGTGGATGTGCCCAGCTCAAACGGGTTTAACACAATCCTTATGATCATAGATAGATTCTCAAAAATGGCACATTTTGTACCTCTTAAAAAATGACCATCTGCTCAAGATCTTGTACAAATATTTTTAAAAGAGATATTTCACTTACATGGGGTGCCTAAAAAACATAGTTTCTGACAGAGGTACTCAATTTATTTCTAGGTTCTGGCGTGCTTTTTGTAAACAATTCGGTATAGAACTTTCATTTTCCTCAGCATATCACCCTCAGACTAATGGTGCAGCAGAAAGGGCCAATCAGTCCTTAGAATCTTATTTACGTTGTTTTATCGATGCCAATCAGTCTAACTGGTATGAACTCTTACCCATGGCTGAGTTTGCCAGGAATAATGCGACTCATGAATCCTCTAATCATAGTCCATTTTATGTAAATCAGGGTTATCACCCCACTGTTTTCCCTTCTGAGTTTTCAGGCACAGTTATTCCTGCCTTGAACACTTGTTTAAATTATATTCATGACACTTGGGATTCCGTTCATACAGCATTACAAAAAGCATTAAAACATGCTAAAATCCAAGCTGACAAGAGATGGGGTGCCAATCCTGTTTACCAACCAGGTGACAAGGTGTGGCTGTCCACACGTTATATCAAACTTAAAGTTCCTTCCATGAAATTTGCTCCTCGGTACAGCGGTCCTTTTCGGATCCTCCGCCGTATCAACCCTGTGACTTATTCCTTGGCACTCCCTGTCTACATGAGAATCGCCAATTCATTTCATGTATCATTGCTCAAGCCTCTTACTTGCAATCGATACACTAGAGTTTCCGCTCCTCCTCCGCCCTTGGTAGTGGGTGACCAGGAGGAGTACGAGGTTCGTTCTGTTTTAGACTCCAAAATCTCCATGGGTATTTTGTCTTATCTTCTTGACTGGAAAGGATATGGTCCAGAGGAACGTTGTTGGGTTCCTGCTGACCAGGTTCATGCGCCCCGTCTTGTCCGGTCGTTTCACAACCGCTTCCCTCATAAGCCGGCTCCTTCCCGCCCGGTGAGCGGTCTTCCAGTGGGGGGTACTGTTGCGGCTCCCGACCAGCCTGGTGTCGTAGCTGTACCCGACCGGCACGGTCTCGCCGACACCACGAGCTTACCTGCTTGTCGGTGAGCCGGGAGCCACTCCGCTGCCTTCTCTGGGCATCGCATCCAAATCAAAGATGGAGCGGACCACGTGGTCGCGTCCATCTTAAGCTCTGCCCCTCTAATGAATACAGACGTGCGCGTGACGTCATGACGTCACGCGCACGTTCTGGGGTCAGAGGTCACCCTCTGACCAATCAGAAGCCAGAGAGGGATATTTAAATCCCTAATTCACTTTACTTCCTTGCCCTGTCGTGGTTTAGTGTTCCTGGTTCCTGAGAGTGCGTTTATCTGTGTGAATTTGACTTCCTGGTATCCTGATCTTGGCTTTTCCCTGGTTATTCCGAATTCTGGTTCCCCTGACTTGGCTTGTGTAAACGGTATTTGAGTATTTCTGGCTTCCTTGACCTTGGCTTTCCCTTTGACCATTCTCTATCTCTAGCGTATTAGTCCGGCCATTCTAAGGTCTGGTTTACACTCTGTCCTTTTATTTTCCTTTTCTTTTGTATGTATATATTTGCATAGTTTCTGCGTGTTGGACCACGCTAGCTGCCGTGACACTGTCACTGTAATCACCTCCTGCAGATCACAGTAATTGTCCACAGGGAGGGTGCCTGGGTGGCCAGGCATGCCCCCCACGCGATCTGCAGGGGGATCCTGCCTGTAGTTACATGTGTCAGCCAATAGGCTGACACATAGTAACTCTGATCGCAGTGACAGGCAATCTGCAGCGGGAAAATACTGCGGCTCCATGTGTCAGCCAATTTTAAAATTGTCTGACACATGGTAAATACCAATCGCAGTGACAGCCTGTCACTGCGATCGGAAGTTGCAGAACACGGTCACTGGGCACAGGGGGGCTGCCCCCTGACCACGATCTGCAGCAGGGTAATGCCGCCGGCCACGTGGGCGGCAAGACTGCCCAGGGCGCTCTATGCTGCCCTGCGGCGTTTAGAGCCAGTCCATTAAGGACGGCATAGAACACCCTGCGGTCTTAAGGGGTTAAATAGCTCCACGATATTTACCAAGTTAGATTTGAGAGGGGCTTATAACTTGGTTAGAATCCGTGAAGGGGATGGAAAATAGCCTTCAACGCATGTTACGGCCAATACCTCTGCAAAAGTAAATTACTTTAACACTCTAATAAGTACACTGTCCCATCAACCCAAACAACTATTTCACACTTTTGATGCTCTTCTTCACCCTTTTAATCCCTCTCCTTCTACCACCTTGTCCGCCAAAAACTTTGCATCTCACTTCACTGAGAAGATCTCTACAATCAGAGAAGAGTTCGCTAATTTCTCTCCTTCCCTTACCAATACATCACCAAACCCCACTCCCTCCATCATTCTACACTCATTCACAACTGCTACAGCAGAAGTAGGTTTCTGCTCTGCTCTGGTCCTCCTGTCCCAC